AGAAAAGAAAAATCCAAATTTCTTAACATGACCTATAACGCTCTCCACAATCTGGTCCATGCCCACACCTCTCACCTCACTGTATGCCTATTAATGCAACATTCTAGGCCTCTGCACTATCCAAGTAGCACCATACCTTTGCATGCCTGACACCTAGAACAGAACATAGTGTGTCTGGCTATCTGGATGTGTGTGTGTGTGTGTGTGTGTGTGTGTGTGTGTGTGTGTGAATTTGTTCTTCAAAACTAATTTTCTTTGTATTTTTTGTCTTCTAAGGAAAATATCTGTCTCCCAGCATATACGGATTTCATTTAGGGAGCAAGAGAACTAACTTGAAAATTAATTTTTCTAAGAACACTTACTATTGAACTGAAATAATATCCTGTGGAATTTCACACTCTTAGATGAGCCTGCCAGGGATGTGGGTGGCTCAGCCTTCTGCATTAACTAGACTTAGAGCAAACATAAAGAGATTTGGCCTCCCCACCAATAAGCAGCTCCTTCACTTCGACAAATAGGACCCCCATCCTTGCTTTAAAGTGCTCTCTCTTTGTACACATAAAAATGCAGAAGAAAACCCAAGAAGCTCGATATTCTTCCCCACCCTCAAAATTACTCTGCTCCTTGATATGTGCACCATAGCCCTGACATTATTTCCGTGACCTTTAAAATAGCAAGATGTTATCAGCACTGAAGGTGGCTTAATTAACATGGGAAGCTTCACTACCTCAGACTCACTTGTTTTGTCTCCAATGTCTGCATCCTGGTTACAATCTCTGGGTGGTTAATCCTGACCCAAGAACATTTCCATTATTTCTTAAGGAAATGGTGATTTAAAAAAAAAACATGAAGACATTCAGATTCAAGCCTCACACACACAGCAAGTACTTCTTTGCCTTCATACTCCAGCATTCTTGAAACTGCTCCTTAGCACTTGAGCCATGCCGAGCTGATGCAGAAGTCCTGGCCAAGTCTCTCCAGGTGTGGTCAGCTAGCCACTCTCCATCCCTGGGGCCTGTTAAATGCAGACTGCTTGACCCGCCTCAGGCATACAGAATAAGAATCTCTGTGATCAGCCTGAGACTGGGCTTTACCAAGCTCTTCAGGTGATTCTAGTGCCCATTCAACTTTGAGAATCATACTGAGGAAGCATCCCTGCTGATCCATAAATTGCTCCAGAAGGATTGTTTTTAAAATAAAAGATGGACTTCAAGAGCCCTTAGAAGAGAAAAGCAGGCAAGACTGAGGAGAGAAGACCACCAGGCAGTGGGAAAGAATAAAGGAAGGAAGAATGGAAAGAAGTGGAATGAAGAGAGAGATATAATCACATCTCATCTTTTTGGGGGCACCGACCCTAGGAGATTCCCTCCTCTTCTCCCTTCCGGTATAGCACAGTCTGCAGGGTTATTTATGGAGAGTATGCCTTTTGGAATTTTTTTAAACACAGCTGCTGCTGGTGGCAGGTAGAGTCTGACTGCCCAGCTATCACAGTTGGTCTGACAGAGGCAACATTCAAAACCTCTAGGACAGAAAAGCCAGCACCTAATGGATCCAGTGGTTGACTGAACCTTATGTCTACAGGAATACAGCAGACAATGAGTGATCGCACATCCAATTCAGAATCACCATTGTACTTGCCGTATAATTTCCTCTCATCTTTCTCCCTCCCCCAACCCAGCTGCAGCATGGGTGTAAGCACTTCCTCTCCACTCATATTTCTATTTGCACATATAGTTCAGGGTGACAGCCTATTGATAGTAGTTTATACTACAGACTCACAGAATTAGAAAATACTATAGCTGGCAGCAGACACCCACTGCACAGCCACATTATACAGTTGGGCCATTTACTTTCATCAGCACTTACCTGAATGGCAGGCTTTGTTGATCTTTGCAGTGGCTAAGGCCAAGCAGTCCCAAACCATGCCACTTATGCAGAATTTTAGTTCATTGCCCTGAAAACAAAACTGGTTTTTTTTTGTTTTTTTGTTTTTTTTTTTTGCCTCCCTAGCCTTAGGAGGGGTTGAGATGTGCTCAGAGGCAAGAGGGAACTGGAGCCATTGGTTTAATAAGAACAATTGAGGATCACCAATGGGTCCAAATTCCATTTAATTGAGGACATTTGCATCTGATTTGTGATGATCTAGAATAACACAGATCTGTGGGTTTTGATTGCTCTCTTCCAAATGATGCCAGAAAAAAATAAAACAAAAAAACTGCTGCCTTGATGAATCACAAATCTCAGAGACACTCAGCATACCTGGGTATTATTAAAGATTAGCTCATAAACACAGCAATAGCCACTGGCTACAATTTTCTAAGTGATTCTTTGGTAATGGGAACAAATCTATCTTTACCTTTTTGTCATTTTTTGCTTTGCTTCCTTAATCCACAAAAGAATTTAGTTATTACGAAAATCAAAAAAGAAATGGAAATTCAGGTTATTGCTCTACAAAACGACCTTTGCATTTTGAATCATTACTAATGTGTCCTATTTCGCAAAGCTGACATTAGTACCCAGATGGATGTTTCTTATTTATAAAACACTTCCAGTTAATCTCAAAATATTTGTCAAACTTTCAGGCATGTTACTTTTAGTCACCTGGCTTAGAAACATGCAACTTCACCCTGACACTTCATCAGGCAACAAAAGTTACGGATGGGGCAAAAACATCCAGAAAAGTCCTCCTGAGGACAATCACAAATGCTGGTACACTGTTGATTAACATCTGGATCACCTTAAGGGTGTTTGTGAACCAGCAGGAAATAAATTTCTGGAGAAGGCCATGGACTTGGTGATGGTTGTTTTAGTATTTAATAATAAATGGTTTCCAGTTGATAGGAAAATATTGAAATGTGACTTATATTTACGAAGCTGATTCAAATTTGATAAACATGTCCCCAAAGGAAATTACTGGGTTTATTAAAAGCCTAGGAAGGCTGAACAGAATTGCAATAGTCTTATCCTATACTCCTTGCTGAGGTGGAGTAACCGCTCCCCAGTCCACCCTCCAGCCAACTAAGGAGGAAGGACAATAATAAGGAAAGAGCAGGGAGCGCTCTCAGTCTTCGTTAAAAGTTGCTATGAACTGTTGGGCTACCCCGTGCAAGCTGTCTTCCACAAAGTAAGTGTCACTGCCTTGCTGGTAAAATGTGATGTGTTGATGACTGTTATATTACATCTAAAATCCCATTTACTGGTAATAGAAAAGTTCAGTTAAAGAGTTTTGCCTTATGTCTCCTGGTGCTTGATAGACCGTTGTGTGATATTGCCAATTTTCGCTTCAGGCGTATTCACATGCAACAGTGAAGACTTCACAAGAATTTGCACATTTGATCCAGGGTGAAATCATGGCATTTTCATAGCAAATCAACTTTTCTTTGGCAGAAAAATGATAGGTACTTTTGCACCTAGAGAAATGCCTTTGTTTTCAAGGAATTTTGAACAAATAAAAAATGAAAAGTTCTTTGTCTATGGGAATTGTGATCCAATCATTCTAAGCAGAAGCTCAGCAGGTAAAGAATCCTGTTGTCCTGCTTTCTGACCTGGAGCACGTTCCTTGACCTTTCTTATTTTGACTTTCTTGTTAAAAAAAGAAAAAGAAAAATGGGGGTCACATGCAATCTTTTTTTCCTATGTGTCACAAGCTGTTCTGGGATGCCTTCACATCTCTAACATCGTACAGCAGTGCCTGCAAAAGGGCAAATTGCTGTGGATGTAACATGTGGAATTTCACCTCCGTGTGCTCTCCTTTTAGTGGTGTTGGAAGCAGCAGGGATTTACTCATGCAGCCCTGCTGATTTGCAGACTGGGAGTAAATACTAGGCCTTTTGCAATGATTACCAAAAGCCCCTCTTCAGTAGACACGATCTACTGCATTACATTAAAGTGCTGGATTGAGGAGTGAGCCAGCTGAGCCGTTCTGTACACACCTAGCCAGGTTGCAATTTATATTCAGAGCTGTGAGTAGCCACAGAGCTTTCAGAGTAGCTTTCAGAGCAAGAGAGAGAAGAACATTTCTCTTAAAATCTTCTACCAGGACTGGAAACCAAACTCTGATTTGTTACTGCTATTTAAAAAGAGAGAGAGATTCTTTCTTCATTGCAGGAAGAAATTAATAGGTAAGTTTTTCTCTTCCTGCAGTATTGCTACCTAGGATTGCTAAGGATCTCCCTTGAAGCCTTAAAAAAAATCGTTTCATGACTTTTCTTTTGAATGGTACATATACCCTTTCTCTAAGTTCTGAGTACTGAGGACACAGTCCACGTCTTTTGTTACTGAGCTTAGTCTGGAATAGCCAGCTTCGTTTTTGTGAACAACATGTAGCTGTGCCCCATAATGAGTCCTGCTTGCTCCTCTGCAGGCCAAGCTGCAGGGAGATTGGAGACGGAGAGACTGATTCATGTGGTGTTCAGTGGCCACCAGCCATTTCATTTTTATTCAGTAAATGCAGGATTTTAACATGGAGGTTTGGAAAATATGGTGGTTGAACCAGAAAAAATGTCAGTTTGTGTCAAATTTAGTGTTAGATGGTCAAACAGTCTTTTATTACCAAATTATACACACACACACACACACACACACACACAGACACTACTTGACCCCACAAGATTATATATGTAAGTTATATTATGTAATTATAACATGTAAATATGCACTATATATATATAATATTACTTGACCGCACCAAATTATTTTTCAATAATAGTAGTGTCCCTTTTTTCTGGAAGAAAATATATCTAAGATAGTTATTTTACTGGCATTATTTTGTCTAGGTTTGTTGCCTTTCCAAGAACACCTGTGAGGCATCAAATGCCATTCTATGTAAGATATAGAGGGTAGCAACTTTTTTTAAAAGATACTGTACAAAATTAAAAAGGATAAATAATTGTCACATCATAGCACACATATGAGCATATGAGTGTATACACATATGCTACCCCAGCAAAATACAGCACAAAATATGATGACTCTGATAGAAATTAACTGCATGGCTGTACCAGAAATTGCAGCTTTTCAGACCGTGACACCACAACGTTTGTGGCTTGAGGGCCCTCCTGCCTTCGGATTCTGGCATAATTTGCTCTGATCTCCATCAGTTGCTTTAACTCTGTTAAAAAGATTATTTTGAGAGACATATCAATGTATTAATAGAAAGTAATTAAAAGTCCAAGATGATGAAAAACTCAAAGATCCCTCAGAAATCCTTGGCTTCCATGCCGGACTCTCTCATTACACACTTGACTTGCTTATCATATCAGATGCGTGCTAACATTCTTTGGATTTCTACAGAATGGTACTTCTGGAGAGGGCTTCCTTCCAGGCTTTGTACAAAGCCTGAATTGGAGGCTAACGTGGGAGTGGTCTAGAAATTGAACCCACTGAAAAGACGGTAAACACAAAGTGAGAACACTGTTCCAATTTGATGACAAATGGCATAAAGCACTCTTTTACTTTTGTTGGGGGTCTGTCTGAAAGAAACAGCTCTAACAGCATCTGATTTGTTTTGCCAAAACAAATCCATTTTTCAAAAACCCGGTGTGATTCTTGATGACTTTCACGTGCTAAATGTTTTTATATTATAGTACATAAAATAAGCTTTTATAGAGTGTTTACGTTTTTGAAACTCCAAGACTGCCTTATTTTATACCATATAGTTAAGATCACAGCAAAATTTTGAGTGTAATAATTACTTAAGTGTCCCTTCATAAGTATATCTATCTAGATATATATAAATAGATTAGTAGCATTTCTCTCTTTTTAAAGCATTCTGAGTATTTAATAATATAGTCTACTTAATGATTATTTCTAACTTTATTTCAGGAAAAACAATAAATGCCAACTCCTAGAGTAGAATAAGTTTGTAAAGAACAATCAAATTAAACTCTACTATCAATCAGATTTCCAGACACTTAGACAATTGGGGAAAACCACTAACCTTTTCATCATGAAGGTGAAAATATGAAGGTGAATCATGGGAACCTACTTCCAGAGGAAAAGAATCAACTTTTGCATCATAGTAATCCATGTGGATATACATAATTGATGAAACAAAAAAGAAAAATGTTGGTCTACCTAGCCTTGTCAAAGGTCCAGAGAACTAACATGGAGGAGAGTGATAGGGAAAGTAACATTTGCATTTCCTATTTTCTCTCTTTCCTTCAGCTTTTATGGATAACAAGCTTGCTGAAGGGGCCCTACATTTCTCTCTGTGTTTTGGATACCTCTTTGGCCAGGTTGCCCTAGCTTTATTTCTCGTAAAGTCCCAATGAACACAGTGAAACCAGGGGGATAGGGGCCAGGCAACAGAAGACAATCCCAAGAGTATGAAAAATTGAACATTAACAATGAAGAAACTAGAAAAGTACTTCCTACTGTACTACTTCTTTGTTTACTATTTAATTGTACTATAATATTTCAAGTGTGTTCATATACTTAATTAGATTTAAAACTCTTTCAGGAAAGGAACCCTGGCTTATATTTCTTTTATAGGGCTGTGCAGTTTGGGAACACAGGAAGGTGTCAACTAATAGTTACTGATGACAAGGACCCCAACATTGTTCTTCTAAGAACCACATAGTGAGGGTCACCAAGAGCTGGGGTGAGAGGTAATAATGAGTGATGGGGACAGCAGCATACAAAGAATACAACAGTTGAAGCTTCTTCCTTGATGTAGGATGGCACTGAAAGAATATTTGTGGAATACCTCAAAACAGTGATAGGCATCCCAATAAATCCTTGTCTTCCTGCATTTCAGTCTTCATTCCTATACTTTTGTTCTGGGCTAAATGTAAAGATATGATTGCAACTGCTTTAAAAGTTTTTGGTTTGTGTACCTTACATATAATAATAATTTTATGGTGACTTTAAAAAGAAATAATCTAGTATTGGTTACTTTAGGGATCCTAGGTAATACATTTCTAAATCTTTTGATTTCCTTTAAAGTGATATCATGTTCGTAATCTCTGAAAATTGTGTCCTTGTTAATGTATAGCTACCCCCTGAAAGGGGCTTTAAATTCCTCAGGCTGAGGTTCCTGGGTGACTCAGTTGGTTGAGGGTCCAACTTCAGCTCAGGTCATGATCTCACGGTTCGTGAGTTTGAGCCCTGTGTTGGGCTCTGTGCTGACAACTAGCTCAGACCCTGGTACCTGCTTCAGATCCTGTGTCTCCCTCTCTCTTTTCCCCTTCTCCACTCATGCTCTTTCTCTCTCTGAAAAAAAAAATAACATTAAAAAAAATATACTTTAAGAAAAATTCTTCAGGCAAACAGGATAAAGAGCAAGAATTGGTTTAATAACTAATATGTGCTCTTTTCCATTGTTATCACTTGAAAAGAGAATTAGCAAAGAATAGATAAAATAATAAAATGTGCATATATTTACTTATTATTAAAAAAGAGATCTGCAAACTGTATAGTCGCTATTAATAAACCATTAAGTTTTAAATAACTTGAAGGTAGGAAGTCAACAAAGCCTCACTTTCCTCAGGGTTCATGCTAAGAGAATACCTTCAAATCAGGTCATTTAGAGTTTCTGCAAATAAGCCCCTTGGATAAGGCTCAAGACTAACAGAACTCTGATTGAATTCCTGAGTGCAAATGGTGTCAACAGTGAGTTTCCAGCACAGAAGTATAATCTGAGTAGAAAAGTGTGGAGGAAGATAATTATTAAAAATCATCATGATGGAATATAAAATTCAGAAAGTAAGCTCTTTGAAGAAAAGACTGGATGTTTTAATACTTCAAAAACTTGATGGAAAAGAAACTGTTATCCATACCCTTTTGGGTTATAAAGCCATGTCCTGTGGATACACAGATGACCATGTCTCGCTCTATGTCATCCCACGAGTAAATTGGTTCTCCATCTGGGGTGTACAGGGTTCTGGCTGGGCGGACCATTTTGAGACGAGAGGAACAGTCATCCAGCAGCTGAAATACAAAGGGACAGACAAATTAGAATACGAAATGTTACAACATTATGAAGAATCAACTCCTTTAAGAGTTATTCACCCACTTTGAATATTTATTTTACTTTTGGTTATTAGAAAGGGGTATGGAAGAGATATGGGAAAAGAGCATATAAAAGTTTCCCAAAGTGCTTTCACAATGAGGAACTTCTGCGCTCTTACTGGATTTTTTCCTTGTGGTTCTCTATTTTTCCATATGGAAGAAGGCTTCTTGCTGTTTATGAAATACCTAAATATGAAAGGCCCTGGCTTGAGAATCTAGACTTGTCAGAATAGCTGAAAATATTTTTGTTTTCAATAAGCAAGAAACTAGAAGGACAAAAGCACTGACCCAGAAGTGAGCAGACCTGGGCCTTTGGCCTCTTTCTATGAAAGTCCAGCAACCTTTCTATGAAAAGAGTCTCTTCAATTATAAAATCAAAGTTTTGGTTTAAGACCTCTTTGATTCTATAATTAGAAAGTCTTCTTTTTCTTTCTAACTTAGAAAATTTAAAAACTATTTATAAGGGCCTTATTCAGTTTCTCTCAATTTCCCTAGAAATATTAATAAAAATACATGTACAGATGCAAAGTGTCAACAGTACTAGAAACATTAGTCAACATGTTGCCAGAGCCCTAAGGGCAATTCCATGAAAGTGTGAATAAGACTTTAAGACAGAATAATAAAAACAAGTAGGAGGAAAGTTAGAAGTTTCTGCACAGTGATTTTAACCTAACACCTGTTCCTCCCAAATGCAGGGTCCAGGTCCACATGAGCTCCAAATCACAACCAACACTTTGTTTTGAGATAGAGAGTGAGAGAGCGAGAGAGAAAGAGAGAGCGTGGAGCAGGGAAGGGGCAAAGGAAGAGGGAGAGAGAGAATCTTAAATAGGCTTCACGTTCAGTGTAGATCCCAATGCAGGGTTTGATCTCACGAACCATGAGATCATGACCTGAGCCAAAACCAAGAATCAGATACTCAACCAACTGAGCCACCCAGGTGCCCCACAACCAACAATTCTCTTTATAGATCTCTTTAGGGGCTGCAACTTACAACAATGCAGCATAGCAGGGGGCAGAGCTAGACACATAATGACATCTTCTATGTGGAAAATGAATCAATAATATGATGCAAGACAAGACAGTGATGAAACAATGCACTGGAAAGTGCAGTTTTCACGACCACTACTTTGAGCAAGGGATGAATGAACTGAATTGAATAATAATTAAAATTTGCCAAGAATACATTCCCTTCTGTAGATAGAAGAGCAGTGGGAGAATGTTCTTACCTACTCCTCCTGCTAGGTAACAGTCAGCCAGCAGCAATTTGACTCAGAACTGTGGATATGAATCAGCCCTGTGTCTTGAGATCAAGGAGAGGATTCAGAAAGATCCCAAGTAAAAATGTAGGGGAAACAAAGAGAACTAATCTATCCTGTCTTCTGTCAAAAGATCTCTCCTTGTACAAGGAGACATAGATTAAAAAAATTAACAACAGCAACAATACGAGGCTTATTCTATAACATAGAAAGCTCTATGTTTTGCACTGTACTCAAGGTAAAGATTAGAAAAAGATTTATAGCAGGAATATGTTTTATAAGATATCTGCACTGGGTTTTCCCCAAATTCAATAAAATGTGACTTCCATAAGCACATTCACACACACACACACACACACACACACACACACACACGGGGAGAGAGAGAGAAATCAGATGACAGCTATTTAAAGAAAAGAAGTATCGCTGAGGTACGGGCAGAGAAGATGATGATGATGGAGGTAACAATAATAGCAGTTAACATTTACTGGCACATTTCTATGGGATAGAAACTTTTCTAAAATTTCCAAGGACAATCTTATTTCATTCCATAGAAATAATTATTATCTTCCTTTTATTGATGACAAAAATAGAGAACAGAGTCTAAATACCTTAACTCAGATCACACAGCTAGTAAGAGAAGAAACAGGGTTTTGAATTGGGATGAATAGAGAGATAAAAGAAAGAAAGAAGAAAGAAGGTAAGGAAAGAATCAACAGTAGAATTAAGATCTGTTTTGAAAACAGAAAATAAAGCATACTGAATATTGTAGAAAATCAAATCAGTACTAGGATGGACTAAGTTGAGAAAATCTCATAGCATATAGGGAAAGCCTAAGACATAAAATTTATGAGAGAAAAGTTAAACATCTGGAGTGTCAAGACATCAGATATTAAACCTATACATTATTGGTGGTACTGGAGAAGAATTCAGAATAAATTAAGCTTAAGCAACTATCAAAAAAAACAAAAAACAAAAAAAAAAACAAAAAACAATGAAGGAAACCTTCCTATCCCAAAGACCCATGTCTTCCGATCAAATAGGCGAACTCAGAATATGGCAAAGTTAATGAAAAAATGACTAACATTTAAATATAACTGAGTCGAAAAGTATGTATTACAGACACGGGGGAAAATTCAGTTATATTTAGATCTGTTTTCCACAACAATGAATGTCGAAGAAAATGGAATAAGATATGAAGTTTTTAGGAGAAAATGATTTAACATAAGATTTCTATATCCAGCTGAATTATTACTTTTGGTTACAGGAAACAAATGATATCCTCATATATACAAAACCTAGGAAAACATATCACCCACATATATTTCAGATTATTAAGAAATGAATGAAATTCCTTCACTGTGGGAAAGTCATATGTGAAATGAGTAATATCAAGCAGTAAGACCACTATAACATGATACAACTGCTACAAAAAATGTTCAGAAAATAAATAAATTAAAATTTTAAAGCCTTCATAGAGAAAAAAATAAAGTAAAAATACAAAGTATCATCAAAAAGGGACATGGGCAAAAGAAAGAAAAACCAAAGCATTTCAAATGTCTATTTATAAATGAGGGCAAAAAATGCCATTTTTCTGTTTTCCTTTGTTAGGAAGGAACATTTATTTTTATGATTATAACAATGCAATAAATCCTAAAATCACAGTAAGAGAAATAATTCATCTCTAAAGAAATAGAAAAAATTATTATCACGTGAACTTAATATGATTTTATTCTTAGAAAATTTATGTGAACCAAATAAAAGATTAATAACAAGAGAAAAACACTTAATAAAGTGGCCAAGGACAAAGTAAATTATAAAACATTGATAGTATTTTTGTTCACAAAAACAAGCATTCAGAAAATATAGTGGGGGAAAATCTCTCCTAAGAGCAAAACCAGATAGGAATGGCAATTATTTTAAAATGCAAGACCGTTATTAAAAAATTATAAAATTTTACTAAGGAACTAAAAACATAACATATATCTTTTTTATGTATGCATACACATATATATAAAACAATGTCACAGAATTTATGAAATTAATTAATAGCCTAACACAACTACAGACAAGACCCTGCAGGATGACTTTAGGGTGTTGAAATGTAATTTCAAAATTCATTTATAAGAATCAATACACAAGATTATTCAAGTAAAATTTGTAAACAAAGAACAATAGGCAACTTTTTTCAGATATTAAAATATAAGATAAAGCTATAATAATTCTAAAAGTATTAGATACGTTAGATTGTTTAAGAGCAGAAGCTAATAAGAATTAGTATATTATAAAGATTGCATTTCAGCTCAGTTGGGAGAATGAAAACAGATTAGTCAGTAAGTAGGCCTGAGATAATTTTATGCCAACAAATGTAGCAGAGAAATGACTTTGCTCAAATTTTACACGAGAAGAGAGTTTCACACAGTTTAAAAAGTAAAAGAGAAAAATAAAATGATAAAAAATTGAAAGAAAACCAGATGACTCTTTATATGAATTTAGGATAGTAAAAGACTATCAGAACATTTAAAAGCAAAGAACAAATTTTTAAAATATAATAATATCTGTACATTAAAAAAATAGACAGTGGTAAATTGGAAATTTGTTACACTAAATCTGATAAAGTTAGACGTTGCTTATTGCTTTAAGAAAAAGAAAATTCATATCACTGTGAAAAAAACTTCCGATAGAAAAATGGCAAAGGATTTAACAAGAAATTCACAGATGACTAATAAATGATAAACCGAATCAAAATCACTTATACAAGTAATTAACGACATATAAATTCAAAGGTGGATATAAAACTCCCTCATGTCAAACCTGCAAATGCATGTTTCTAATTGACTGCATTTAGCATTGCTGATACCTCATGTATACAACAAGTAGGTGGAAACTCTCATTCACTATTTATGGGAGCACAAACTCCTGAAATATTCCTAGAAAATAATTTGGCAATAGCTATCGAAATTCTCAAACATGTTTACATAATTTGACCTAGCGATCTTTCTAAGAAGTTATTTAGGGGAAATAATCAGAAAATTAAATACAAGGGCACCTGGGAGGCTCAGTAGGTTAAGCTTCGGACTTCGGCTCAGGTCATGATCTCACAGTCGTGGGTTTGAGCCCCCCGTTGGGCTCTGGGCTGACAGCTCAGAGTCTGGAGCCTATTTCAGATACTGTATCTCCCCCTCTCTCGAACCCTCCCCTGCTCACACTGTATCTCTCTCTCTCTCTCTCTCTCTCTCTCTGTGTCTCAGAAATAAATAAAATATTTTTAAAAAGGAAAATTAAATACAGATGTATATATTAATTGGAGCATGCTTTATAATAGCAAAAAATTACCAACAATCTAAATGGAAAACAATAGAAAACTGAATGAATAAATAATAATCTGTCCATTTGATAGAAGATTATGATGTCATTGAAAATGTTTTTGTTAAAGAATGTTAAATATGTGTGTGGGGGGAATCACATTAGTTTGTTAGATGACTAATGCAGGTTGCAAAATGATATATACTGTGTGATTTGCTATGATCACAATGGCAAAAAAACTTATAAGTGTATAGCAACCATAGAAATATATCCATTAAAATTATAACTATGGTTATTTGTGGGTGACAGAATTTTCATTTCATTCTTGATACTTCTTCTTTTTCTAATTTTAATACA